CTCCTGGAAGCGTCGTGATGGCGTCTGCCACATGGAGTGCAACAACATGTTGGATGACTTTGACGACGGTGACTGCTGTGACCCGCGGGCCACCGATGTGACCAGGACCTGCTTCGACCCTGACTCGCCCCCGCGGTAGGTGCGGGGCTTATGGGGGGGTGGCGCATCAAGGGATGGGGTGCACCTTCTCCCTGACACCCACTCTGCACCTGGATGTTGCTTCTGACCGGCTGCTTTCTAGCGTGGAAAGGTGGAGGGGCGTTTTCCTGCGGGGACGGGTGTGCTGTGCCATCGAGGGCAAGTAAATCCTACGGCATGGGATGGCACCCCTCTGTGATGCCCTGACGTTAAATGTTTTTCTCCCCCACAAAAAATGACTGGGGTGATCACCCCAGGGAATTCCCAGTGCAGAGCTGCTGGTCCCTGGTGACATGCCAGCGGGACTGCAGGCATCCCCGGGGTGGGCAGAACGGCCCCGTGCAAAGGGTGCTGCTTCCCCGACTCCCCTACGCAGGATGCAGCGAGGGGATTACTGGCCCTTCCCCACCTTCCCTGGACGTCTCTAAAAGCCTGATTTCTTAATTTGTATTCTAAATGCCTTTGCCTGAGTGCTGGGGTGGGGAGAAGGAGGCGACGTTGCTCGGTGTGAGCGGCAGGATTTGGTAGAGGTGTGGGTTGGTGTACATGAAGCCTCGCAAATCTCGCCCTGGGGAATGATGCCCGTGGGGAGATCCCTTGGCTGGGCAAGGGCAGGGGCTGGTCAAACCCGACACCTCAAAGCCAAATGGTTGTTTGGGAGCAAATTCCCCTCTTCAGGCCAAAGGCATGGGGTGGCAGCTCGGTGCCCGAGGAGGATGCGTGCCTTTACCGCGTGCCGCAGGTGCAAAATGCCCTGCAAAACACGCGTTGCTCTGTGCAGCACCAACACGCTGTGTTAGGGGATCCCTGCTCTCCCCGGGGCCCTTTGGAGGCAGCAGCTGGGGCGGGACGGAGAGGGGGACCCCCTCCACGTGATGGGGGACCCCGTGGTGGTGGGCACAGTGTCCTTGGTGTGGTTGGTGGCTTGTGCACGCCTGCCTTCCTCCTCGGAGCCTCTGAAGTGCCGGCAGCCTCGCTGATGGCTTCCAGCACTGGGGCTCTGCCAAATGTGCTTTCTGGCCAGAGACAGGGAAGGGAAAAAAAGTCACGGCTTTTCCTTTTTTTTTTTTAAGTCATTTCTGTCTCGGTGTCAGAGAAAATTGCTCATTCCCTGCTGCTGGCAATGGGCAGAGGTGCCCACCGGAGCAGGAGCATGGCAGCATCTGGGGAGACGAGCTGCAAGGGAGGATTTTAGGGCCATGTTGTAACTTTGATCTTCTTTTCTCCTTCACTTTTTTTTCCCTGGGCTGTGGGAGCAGGTAGGCTGTGACCATAAATCCCTTTTTCCCAAGCCAGCTTCTTCTCTCTGCTACGTCCCAGGTGGGACACCCAGGGAAGAGGGAAGCAGGTGTCTCTGCTCGGGTGGTGGTGATGGGAGAGGAGCAGGGCTTCCCTTCATCCCTTCCTGAGCCTTTCTCGCACGTCCTTCAGTCCTCTGAGAAAACACAGCAGGAGGACGGGGAGCCTTTCTTCCAACGCCTCTCTCCAACCACAGAGCCGCACACCCTGCTCTGCCCGAGCACCCCCAGAAGATGTTTCCCCACCCCTGGAAGTCTCTGGTGACAGCCACCATGGCCACCCTGTGCCTGCCTGTCCCCTTGTTTCCCATCCCGGTGAGCGAGCATGGGCAGTGCTTTCCTGAGCGCTGGGGAGAGGAGCAGCTCTCCTGCCTGCACGATGCCTCTCCTCCTGCCTGCACGATGCCTCTCCTCCTGCCTGCACGACGGCTCTCTGCTCGTGGTGGCCACGACAA